GGTGCCTGCGAGGGGTTTCAATAAATATGTATCCGTAGTGGCAAACGGCATCAGTATTGCACATTCACAGGACATTTCTGAAATCGCTCGCTGCAAGTACCATCGCTACTTGGGTCACGCGGTGGCATTGATTCAACCCGTGGAAGTGATTTATTTCCAGTGGCACGTTGAACAACTTAGGAAAAGTTGGATTGCAATCGCAGCTGACCTCGGAACATATTCATACTCCTGAATGCAGACCATGCAGCCGCTCGCCGGCGCCCAGCAAGCGGCTCGTGACGTCACGTACGGCTGGCAAGCGCGCCGTATTGCCCAACTGTGATGAATACTGTTGGCGTCAGAAATTTGCCTTCACAGACTTCTGCCATCGCCTTGAAAGGCGCCCAGCCAGCGAACACTCTGAGAGAAAATTACCCGAAAAAAGGAGTAACGAAGCGAAATGGGCACACGAGATGGACGGATTGACCCTTGAGTAGTAACCACAGAGGAATGTGTGCCGCGTGCAAACCACTTAGTCTACAAAGCGATGAACCGGGCGGTAGAAGCGGGCCGTGTGCAAAGGACTGTCGAGGAAACTAGCCGTCCTTCTCAATCTTAGATCAGTCTTTCACCTTATTTTGCTGGTGACGGTTGGCGTTTCCTCACGCTTAGAGAGGTCGACGATCTAGGAATTGCGCCGCGGCGCTTTGTGCGTACGTTTGAATGAGCGTACGCTGCTGTTTTTACGTTCAGTTGCACCCATAAAGTCTGGAGCAGGTCTCGACACCTCGCCATTTCATGCTGCATATCTCTGGCTTTGTCAAGATAGTCACGACCAACTCACGACACCACCGGTTGAGGATGAAGGCCAACATGGTGACCGAGAAGAAAGCAGGCCCATCGAATACGTCATTTCGATATGAATCAGGGCAGACATCAGCGCTTGATTTTCTCGCAAGCATCGGTGATAATTCTTTATTCTGCCGCACTTGCCACGTGTGTAATATATATAGGGATCGCGCTTGCCGGCAATGGGCTCGATTATGTTGAATATCGCACGCACGAAATGCACGGCGAAGGTCGGCTTGGGTGTCTGCGGTTCGCCTGTGCATGGTAACCGCCCGTAAATTAGCCGCCATTGCCGTCGGCCACCCGAAAGCTCACTCATCGAGTGCTCGCCTGTGTTCGCCACCGTGAATAGCTCCGGGCTCACGGTATTAGGCGGAGACCTCGTCGCTGTTTTGCGAGTCGTCCAAAACACGTTGCGGTTGATGGTGACGAGCTTGGGCTTAGTGTTTTGCGCGCTGTAAGTGCACTGGCACGAGCTGGTGGGTCTTTCGCTTGCATCCGAACTCTGTGAAAATTGGTCGCCAATACGGGCTTCCCCGTCACTCAGTCGCAAGCAGCTCGGCGCCAGTAATTGGCTGTGGCGGACACGCGTTTGCTCCCTGCACTTTCACTCGCTCGAGTTTGCGGACAAGGGCCGTCACTACAGTCAGTTTCTATGGCACTCGCTCCGAACCAGCTCGGCGCTGTTCGTGGCGGCTGCCCAGCGTACGCTCGCTGGTGGCAGACACTCCGCTTGCAACGCCTTGTTTGGTCTAGCATTCGCTTTCGCGAGCTGAACCACGTCGCATACTCAGAACTCGCTGACTTGTTGACGGTAGTTCACGGTGCCTCGGAGTTATGTTTACACCCAGCGCACTAAAAGGTGCTCTGCAACACTTTTTAGCATGGTCTGAAAACGCGGCCGACTGGTAATAGAGGCTCCCGACAACACTCGAGACAAATTGTATGGCGAAGCTCACGGCCTAGAATTCAAACTAAAGTATAAAATTCAGCTAAGAATAGCTTTCTCTTCGCTCGACAGATCACGGAATACGCTATAAAATTACTCCTAAAAAGCCGGTCCATCAGCTATTGGCTGATTTGAACATGGTGCACTCAGTTATTACAGGTCGTTAAAGCCGATGTCAGCCTTGAATATTGCACAACAAAGCTTTCGATAATCTTGCGCACAGAGGATTTTGCAAGGTAGTCACGAAGGAAGTTTTTGCGATACCTCGGTGAACTACCTTAGAATGAGTGGAGTAAAATGTTAAAACATGCTTATTTCGATGCGATTGATACATTGAGAACGTCCGACCTATATTTAAAAAAAAGCATAATGTCAAGAAACCTGATTTCACAATTCTCAAAATGTTTGTGGGTAAGCTTTAAATATTTCGCATCATTTTGCACCACGTCTAAAATGGTAAGAGCGTCAGTCTCATATGATGAAACATCGGTGTCCATAAAAATAAAAAAATCACGTAAGCTTACCCAGACCAGTGCAAGTTTCCATTGCCGAAGGCCTGCTGCGTCAACTTCAAGCAAAAAAAAAAAAAAAACACGCTAACGTCGAAGGTGCCACAGCTAGATAAGCTTTCGCCATGGTTCCGTATATGCACAAGATAGCGCACAATCTTAAAGTGGGACAGCGAGTTAATTTGAATGTGGTCCCTTTACGGCCCCTGAAAATTTCAGTTGCCCGTGGAAACTGTCCGTTCCTCCGTCCAGATCCACCCTCGGTTGAACTACGAAACGGGCAAATAAATTTAGAGTTTGTTTCTGTAATGTGGTGTATTAGCTGCTGTTATCATGCGGAATATAATACGTTGGCCAAACCGGTCGTTCTATAAATAAGAGGCCGAAGGAACATATATACAATGTGGATCAATAAAAACAAGTATGGCTGTCCGTTCACTGCAGCAAGTGTGGCTGCCGGCCAATGCTAAAGACGATAGTCTTTCTTGCGGACCTTCGACGCCACAATTTTGGTCTGTCTGTCTGTACATTTGTCTGTTTGTCTACAGTAACTATCTTCCTAACGGCACCCAACGATATCTCAAAAGGCCAACACCACCCGCAGCGCCCATCAATACTGATCGAGTTTAAGCGTTCATACTTGTGCGGTTGTCAAATAAAAAGCAATTATTGCACACATCTGAGGCACCATAATAACACCTCGATGTTTTGTATGCGTGCCTTCATACTATAGAAGGCACACAAAAGTAATTTGAAGGACTGTAGCATTTATCACGCTGCGCTGACAGTACAACACGATGCTCAAAAAAGCAATTGTTTCCAACGCTTTGCAAAGACGACACGATGGTTGCATCTGCCCGTCGTTTTGCGTCCCACATCTTATCGCCTCTAAGACAGACGCGCATCTTTCTCCGCGGCACATGCCTTCCTTCGTTTTCGAAGATAACTTCCAGATGGCACTCGTGTCAAACATGCCTTGATGCACTCGTTCGCCTTCGCCGCATAGATTGAGACCCTACGCAGCGCTTCCAGAATACAGTTCACCGATTTTTTCGCGCAGAACATCAAGGAAATGTATTGTTCACTTTCTCCATATGAAAGACTATCGTCATTTAACAGTATTTCCAGTGAAACTAGCAGATAGGGGGCCATTTTTTTCCGAGTGCACTATTGTTGCCACATGCAGGGGTCACACCACACGCAAAATTGTAGAGGCTGAAAAGATGTGTTCATTACGAGATGCTTGTGTTAGCACCCCTTCTTTCAAACCCACCGATAAAGAAAAATTGTTTCTTTGCTTGTAGATGTGGTGTACTCATGCTTTATCATTGTGTTTCGCGCATGACTTATGCAACTGGTACCTCTATAAAAGGGAAGACTTTCACAAGAAATAACTTGTTGACAGTTTAGGGTTCTGTCCCGTTTGTTTTGTCCCTCCCTGTCATTTGCACTGTTAAGCACTGTTTTTATAAATACAGCTCGTCTGGTTTTTAAATTCTATGAGTTGCTTCCTTTCCTTGTCCGAAGAGCATAATATCTGACAAGTTGTTGATTGAACATCTGGCACTGAGATGCTCTACTTGCTTCATTTTGGCCTAGAAAACTGCGCTGGCAAAAAAAAATATAGTAAAGGAGGTTACCACAACGCGTGGTTTCCAGCACATATAGATGGTTCAGTTAACCCGCTCAGATTTAACCTTAATGAGCAGGCTCACCGAATTGCGCACAGTTTCGCGTATCGGGCTGTCGCGAATAGCCATGCTCGTACCGAGGTCGACATTTACAAAGATTTGTTGTCTACTTTTCATGAGATCGTTTCGCACTACTGTCTGGCCAAAAAAATATTTCCGGCCTTCCACCTCGATTTGACCAAGGTCCAGGTGGGCACACTCACACTACTTTAAACGCATTCATATCTTACTCCTCGGTCCCTTAACCAGATATGCCCCAATCAATCGTAGTCATGCCCCAAATGTGGCCACGACTCATGTTTTTTTAATCACATGCTCTGGCAGTAGTGCCCTTACGCCTCTCCGCCCATCACGAAAGAGCAATGGGATGCATCTTCAAAGAGCGGCAGCCTTCATACACAACTCCAGGCCATCCAGAGCGCCCACTACATCACGACGGAGCTTCGACTTTCGGTCCCATCGTGGGCGGAGCCACCGACTTGATAATGCGGGAGGTTTATAGCTCCCAAATATCTGTTCCTCAGGACCTAAATAAAGTTCTTGTCATGTCATGCATCCTGTAGCGTAGTAAAGTTTGTCAGTGGCAGACGTAGCAGAGGACACTCGGGTTTTACTCGGGCGTCGCCGGAGACCGCAGGTGCGCGCGCCCTCCCGTCGTGGCGGAAAACAAATAGTTTCTTGCATCTCGCCCACCGCGGTCTTGCCGCAATAATCGCGTCGCGCACGTTCGCCAACTTCCTCTCTCATTGTATCATTAGCGCAGGGCGCGCTGGCGCCAGCCAGGAGTTCGCCTTCCTGTTTTTCTTGCTCCGCGACTTCTACGTGCCACTTGATTCATGCATTGCATATATTTGATCTGAAGCGTACGTGCGTTCTGGCGAAGTTTTTATAATTTCTTCTCATATAAATAAACATCTGGTCATGCCACGACAAACTGGCCATTTGCGTTTGAATAAAGGCACCCGATTTCTGGGAGAAACGACAAGTGTTAGGAAAAGAACGAATACGACACGTGGAAACTTTATTACCGTTCACGGCGCGAGTAAGATGTAGGGTAAACTCAAGAGGTACTTCACTTGGGTCACGTACTGTGGTCATATGTGTCATCATAAGAATTGTATTCAAACAGGCGTGGAAAGACACCGACCGCGCTGTCAGATGCTGCATACCTCAAGCATTTCGATTCCTCTGAGCTGCAATGAAAACATACACTCACCGTAAGACAGAATACTTATAAATATTCTACAATTATACGCAAAATTCAACCTAACTAAAAAAAGCTCCTGTTATGCTGCCAATATGCTCAGACATCTGTGTTTTACCACTGCTTTGTCAAATCTTCGACCATGCACCAGCTGGCTAAACCGCAGTTTTGCTCGAAGAAGTTTTACAATGGTGGCACTGGGTGGCTACATTTAGGGCTCGTATAGGGTTCTAAAAATATACTTCCTTTGCGCGCTGAACGTATGAGAAAGAAGTCAAATAGGACTAACCGCTAACTTACAATAAATATACTGTTAATACGGCGCAAGCATATAAGCATATACACCCTAATGATGGTGAATGTACAGTGACATCAACCAAGTCATATTCATCATGTCATATCGTCCCATTTAGGTTAACTGTTCAAGTGAGTCTTCGCCGCGGTGGTCTAGTGGCTAAGGTACTGCGCTGCTGACCCGCAGGTGGCGGGTTCATAACCCGGCTGCGGTGGCTGTATTTCCGATGGAGACGGAAACGTTGTAGGTCAGTGTGCTGAGATTTAGGTGCACGTTAAACAACCACAGGTGATTGAAATTTCCGGAGCCCTCCACTACAGCGTCTCTCATAATCATATGGTGGTTTTTGGACGTTAAACCCCACATATCAATGTTCAAGTGAGTCAGCGCTGCTTTGAAATAATACTGCCATTTAGCCAAGTGAATAATTAAACCATTGGCAACCTTACTTGTTTTTGTTGTGAATGGCCATAGGGGCAGCAGAAGTCAACGTCAGGTGGACATTGAGGGTCACGTCAATAAATTTAGCTCTACGTATAAGTTGTACTAACCCACCCTATTGGTCAAACGACGAAGGCTCTCGACTGCTGCTTCCGCATTTTCGATGGAAAGCAAAAATGCTTGAAGCGTTTGTGCTGAGATTTAGGCTCAGGTTAAAGAACCATGGGTGGTCAAAATCTCAAGAACTTTCCACTGCGCCGTCTCTGATACTCATACGGGGGTTACGAGATGCTAAACCTCCACAATTTATATATATATATATGTATATATGTGGCACTAAAGTGACAAAGAAGCACTCTCAGGCCTTTGTTGCGAACTATAAGGCATTAGATTGAATGCATTAGGCCTTATTGATGGTACAAAACAGACTTCACCAAGGAAGACATAAAATAGACGTTGAAGTTGTGTTGGGCTATTGAGCGAAGCAGTCATCACCCACATTGATATGACAACAGTGGGAATAATCATCATTAGCCAAAATATGACTTGCCTCAGGTTCGTAGTTATCCCTTTCTCACAAAATTAAAATATGTCTAGATTAGCACAGTAGTTTAGAAGAATATGATGATGGCATTCCCTTTGTTCCTGACGGAAAGCGCAATTGCACTGTATCTGAAGAGAATCGATGAATATGGAAACAAAAAATCAAGCCTAAAGTACAAATGTCTGCCGGGCCTACAGCTAAACAAAAAAAAGCAAACATTGCGGTGATGTGCATTCGTGTGTCGCGGCTTCATCAGCGAAACGAGAGTAACTTTCTGAATGAAAGTCAGTGCCTTTAAAAAAGCTGAATGTTGACTGGCGTCATTTGCAATAGAAGCATAATTTTGATGGTACCGCATGTGGAAACTATGATTTAGTTATGATGAAGACAGGTTTAAAGCTAAAAAAACGCTTAGGAAAGCACTCACATACACAGGGCTGAACTCAGAATGCATTTATTACTTCGAACGCAAGCCGGTTCCATGGCGCGCACCGAGGCAGCACAAAAATAAGTCCCTTGATGAAATGAGACAATAAAATACCTGGTGACAACAAGTTGCTGAAACGTTGCTCACTTTAAGGTAGCTCTGCTTGCTGATGACGATTAATTTGTCTAAGTGTGTTGTAATGAATGAGCCTTTAAGATAACCACTCGTTGCTCATTGCATATCTTTGTTGCGCTGGCACGATTACGCTTCTGGCACGCAAAGTATGATTCTTTAGGGAGACTATTTACGCTGCGTGACACTAAGTTAGTGCTTTCTCTCAGGCAGTTTTCACAAATTTCATGGCCCGGTGACAGAATACATGCTTGCACGCAGACGGCCTTACTCGAACATGGATTTTTAAGACTCGTCTTGCTTTAACTTTCTTGATTTTTGTTGACGCACCAGATGATGGTTTCTCGCTCACAACCAACGAAGCCGACACCTACACCAGAACTTCTGTGAATCAAGTTCTTTAAAGTTCTGAGATTTTTAACTGGACTTGCCCTTCAAGCTTAGTAATCCTGCGACACCACTCCAGCAGTGTCATACTAGGCAATATTTTGTAAGCTATCCATCACGGTACTGCCATTGACCAAAGAAACAAGTTCATAAGTTTACTTTCAGACAAAGTGATGCCACCGAGTACAGACCAATGTCAGTATTGCCTGAACGCGCTCGAGGATTAAAGCCCCATTTGGCTTCGCTCAACGGTCACGATTGCCGTTGGCACTGCAAATTCTGCAGACGTCGAAGGTGTAATCAATAAAAGTGTCATGAGTGCTTGCTGCGAAACCATTTGAAGTTTCATTTAATGTTGCATGAAAAAGAAGCGTAATGATAACGACGTTTTACCAGAAAAAAACAACAACAACAGCCAACTGTGCAGGCATAACACGCTTTTATACACCGAAAAATTGTGGTAGTAGACTGTAAACACGTTTTAGCCTTTTATTGTGTTTTTGGCTCGTGTTCCAGCGTGAATCCAGAAGGTTATAACTGAAACGCCCTTTAAAATGAGGTTTTTGCAAACACTCTTGTTTGCAGTGCTTTTGTAGGATCTCTGGGTAGTTTTGTTGTCCTCGTTTGGACACCAGTGTGGTAAGGAAATACGTAGAACAAGATTACAGTACCTATTGAATGAAAGCTGCCAACTTCGAACTTTTATAGTGGTTAGTCTGCTTTATTAAACTCATTATTTGACAAATAATGCTCGTATTTGATTTAAAATTGAGTGATGAAGCTTTGATAACTGTGCATCACCGATAAAATAGCTCCGTCGTTTAGATACACGGCCAATTTATGTTGGCAGAAGGCATAACAAGGTTTTTTCACGAAGTAAACGGGGTCAAAAGAGGGAATTCAGGGGGTAACGTTGTTGTTTTTATTGAACTCGATTTGGGGGCCTGATTGGAGCAAAGCGGAAGTTTTTCTGCTTCTTTTGAGAACCTTAGTCGAGAGTTCGACGGAATGCCGTCTGGTCAGGTAAAGGCATTGTTGAAAAAACAGGTCACTGACCAATGTCAAACAAAACAATGACGTTTCGAGATCCGTACGGGTCCCTTGTTCACAATGGAATGACGGCTGAGCAACAGGTGCCTATGTAACGTTGAGCGCATGACGCAAAGTCCGGGAGTACACGTGGTTTAGGGTGCCAGATGATCTATTGATTGTGTTACTTGTCGTCTGAATGATTAGTGATTCGAGGTTCAGTCTGGTTGTAAAATTCTTCTCCGTGGCTACGATGCGTGCGTTGTCCCAGCTTATCTCGTGGCCCGTCTTCTCGGCATGCTCTGCGAGTGCATTTGTCACTGTGTGGCCCTTGGCGACGTCATTCTTGTGTTGCATAAGACGTTTGCAGTAATTTCCACTCGTGCCAATGTACACCGATTCACAATCGGCGCATGGTATCTTGTAGACCACACCAGGAAAATGTTGCCGAGGGAGAGGATCCTTCACATTTAGCAACTCAGCTTTAAGCTTGCTTGCTGGAACATGCGCGATCTGTACACCACGTTTTCTGAATAGACGGGCTAGGGCTTCGCTTATATTTCGAATATAAGGAATCGAAGCACGCTTTTTTGTAGACGATGCGTTATGCATGGCCTGACTAGTTGACTGCAGTTTATGCATGACGGATTTAGTTGTTTTCCTAATAAAAATCTTGGGGTATCCATTCTTGATCAGGTCATCTTCAATGGTCCGGAGCTCCTCCTGCAGGCTTTCTTTCTCAGAACAAATGCGAATCGCTCGTTGAACCAAAGACCGAATCACTGAGCGTTTGTGGGCTACCGGGTGGACTGACTCGTAGTCGAGGAATCTACCGGAGTGCGTTGGCTTTCGGTACACAGCGAAGGCGAGGCCTGTGGGAGTACGTTTTACAACTGCATCCAAGAAAGGGAGGCAACCGTCTTTTTCTTCTTCCACACTAAACTTGATGGAAGTCTCGACGCCATTTAGGCAGTCAAGGAAAGCTTGGACGTCTTTCTTCTTTATCACGCAGAAGCAGTCGTCGACGTATCTCAGAAAAACCTTGGGTCTCGGCTGAAATGTTCCCAATGCTTTCTGCTCAATTGCTTCCATTGTGATATTCGCAGTTGTGACCGAAATCGAAGCTCCCATTGCAGTACCGAAAACTTGCCTGTAGAATTCACCCTTGTACGAGAAGTAAGTGTTGGATAGGCAAAACCGTAACAAGGTGCACAGCTCGGTGACGTCGAACGGTGTGCGATCGGCCAATGTCGTGTCCTTGTGAAGCATTTGTCTGGAAGTGTCTACAGCAAGGTCGACGGGAACACTTGTGAAGAGGGAGCACACATCAAACGAAACCAGTACTTCGTCGACATCCACAGTGATACTCTTCATTTTGCTTATGAAGTCATTGGTGTTCCGGAGGTTAGTTTCAGTCTTGCCTGCAAGGGGAGCCAGGATGCCGTGAAGATACTTTGAGAGGCTGTATAGGGGTGACCTAGTGAAATCTACTATTGGCCTTAGAGGCGTTCCGCTTTTGTGAATCTTCGGTAAACCATATATCGCTGGAGCAGAACCATTGGTGCACAGCAGCTGGAAGTATAACCTTTTTGCTGATGCAGGAAGCGTCTGGAAAATACTAGAGAGCGTCTTTTGCAGGCCCGTTTGGACTTTCGAGGTAAGATCCTTGTTAATCTTGGCGTACGTTGTACAGTCCCCCACTATCTCCGTCATCTTCGACTCATACGTCGACCG